ATCCCTGCAACTAGTTTATACTCCTCTATCAAAAATCTGCTCGGAATGAATTCAGATGGTCATTGGCTGTCAAATGAAGTCAATATGTTGTCCATGGGTCAACCCGGTTTCACGACAAGACGTGAAATAATCACATTGGTCCACTTTGGAAAACGTGTAGATGTCACGGTTTAACCCCCTCAAACGTGAAACTTACACGTTTGCGTTAACACGTTCCAGTGGAGAGATACCCGGATGTTGACCTATTCTACACGCAATTGCCTCTGCCATAACAACCTATTTCATTAAACCGAGAAAAATGGAATTTTGTTTTATCACTTATAAATGTTCTATTATTTACAATGCAAAAAAACATTTATTATTTTTAAGGTGAAAAGGGTTCATTTGCCTTGATCCATGCGAAAAAACGTCTAAATGTCATGTTTTCACTTAGCGAGTAAAATGTCTATTTTTCCGGCGTCCCAATAACAATAACATCAAACAAAACAGCATTCAATAACCCCTGTAAATGGTGTGCAAGGAAAAAAATAAATAAATAAAGTTTTAAAATCTTACCAAACTTAAAAGAAAATAGACATTTTAATCATTAGGCTACTTCATTAAAAACGTAACATTTAGACTTTTTTTTTCGGCGTGGATCAAGGCAAATGAATCCTTTTCACCTTGAAAATAATAAATATTTTTTTGCATTTTAAATAATAGAACATTTCTCAGTGATCGTCAATAACACAAAATTCCATTTTCCTTGGTTTAATGAAAACCAATAGGTCGTTATGGCAGAGGCGATTGCGAGTTTCTTAAATTTTTGATTTCCCCACAGTATAATGTGTGTAAAATTAAGAAAGTAAAATTCAAATGTGATGTACATATATATGACCAGCTCCGGGCTTTAGGCTCAACATAAGGGGCCTTGGCTTTCTCTTGAAAAAAGTCCCGCCTCCCACCATCCCCCTGCGCACACACCAGGGGTGAAATATTAATAGGGGCTTGGGGCAAAAATGCTATACCAAAATTAATAAAATAAAAAAAAAATCCAAATCCAAATTGGTGTGAAAAAAATAACTGTATAATATATTTTCTAAAATATATATTCATAAGCAATGCAATAGGCATGCAAGTAAAAGTGCGGTTTTCCGAAAAACAATGCCTTGATTTTATTGGTGACTTACATTTTAGATACAATTGTCAATATTGTCTGTTTTTCCTCTATTCTGCCAATAAAAATAGTTTCAAACAGTATTGCCATTCTGCTTTTTGCCATTTTGAGGGAATCAGTTGAATGAATGATTCAATGACTCATTAAGGTATGATTTGCCGCCAGCTACTGTTGGTTTTAGTATCATTTCATTTTAGCTGAGGGACAAAGATGGATGCTGTTCTTGTTTTCGGTCATGATTGTAAAAATGTTTTTGGTTAAAAGCATTTATCAAAAGACTATTAAGAGCTAAAGATAAATATTAGATAAAGCAATATCAGTCGCATTGCAATGGTTTTGTGTCTTTTCTTCCTTTTCTTTGAAATTGGCCTCTGAATTCCAAAGGCCGCTATTATTTTTGACACTATACATTATTTAATGGCTTTGCAATGCCTCATAAAGTAGGTCGTTTGGAATATGCATGTTCAATGCAACACTCAGTTTTACACAATTTGATTTATGCATTTAAATCTTTTTCATGGCAACCCCCAGTTGTCCAAAAATTAAAAACTGCGGGTAAAAGTCACACTAATCCTTGGTTATGAGTGGGATATAGAGTTCTCATGTTAACATTCTTTTTGTACATGAAACTCAAAACTCAAAAATAAACCGTGTGAAACCAGACTCCACACATACACAGACTCATTGGTTTAACATGTGGAAGTGATAACTTGTCCACATTTTTTAATTATTTGTAGTATCTTAACACGTCTTTTCTCCTCTATCATATATCCTTTAATCTCTCATGTGTGAATAACAAATTTCAGGCATTCTGTTCTGAGAAGTATATTTCAGTATGCCCACAAATTATATTTCAACTGGCTAAAGCATAAAGCTTTGGGAAGTTTTCTTTCCCAAGATGTGAAAGAATGAAGCGATGTGCACTTGTGAGGTATTTGACCATGTGTGAAACAGAAGTGTTCTTTAAGACCTGCCAGGGTAGGGCTGAAATATCTCAGCACATCTGTCAGCTAATCAGAAAGATGTGTCCGTGCGCTGGCCTTTTGGAAAATATTTGCTGGGAAAACGGAGGGCCTCTCCCAGAGCCCGGTTATCTCTGGACGCGGGACTTTGCACACTTTCTGCTATACTTGTATTAGATTTTCCTACAGTGGCTCTCGAAAAGCTTCGACACTTGAGGCATGCGAAAAACATACGAATGTCACAGCGATTAATAAAAACATCAAAAACTAAAGTGTAATTTAGGAAAAGCCAATGCATCATATACTGAAAACTGGCTTCAGTAACGAATTAGATGGTGACCAATATCATTTATGTGCTTTTTTTTATTTTGTGACTATAAAATTTACACACAAACATTGTTCAACAAAATACCTAATATTTTTACAATCTTGCAATGAACTGAATGTGAATCTGAACTTTGTAGGCTATTTTGTGCAGTTTGAACAAACCAGGGTTAATCTGAAAGGCAATAGGTGTTTGCTCTCACTGAAACTAAGCGTAATTTATTTGGGGGAAATACTTGTGCACCTTTTCAAGCTAAAAATGCTTATTTTCCCATTGTATTTAATCCTTTTTTCTTATTTTTTTTAGATGATAATAAGTAGATATATACTGTTGAAAATGAAGACAAAAAGTGTTGTGGCTGTCAAATGTTAGTGGCTAATGTTATAATGTGATGAACCCCTACTCTGAATGTGTGAACTTGAGAAGAAACTGTCTCAGAAAAGACAGAAAACTCCAGATTTATTTGAAAAAATATATACTTTTACTCAGAAATTGCAAGTAAATTTCACGATTATTAAAACAAATTGCAAGTAACTGAATTAAACATACGATATAAAACTCGAATAGGCCCATCTTTGAAAATTTACAGTGAGATTTTCAACTGTCTGAATACTTTTTAGGGTCACTGCATACTTCAGAGGGTCAATGACATTTTTTTCAAACACCTTTTAAAAGTTGTATTCCTACACGCATTCATCAAACCTGAATGTGAATTTAAGTAACGCAGTTTGAATCCACATCAAAGCAACAAGCTCTAATGAGGCGCTAATGGAGCCGCCGCTGAGAATAGCCTGAGCCCATTTGCTCAATGTCAGATGTACAGTACTTAACAGGAAGTGTGTCATTCCACCTGGGCCTGTGCCACCGGGTCACATTTATCAGAAATCTAACCCAGTGAGAGCCAGCTAAAAACTCCTCCCAGTGTCAACGGGTGCAAAGATGCCTTATTAAAGATTAATACGCGTCATAAAAGCTGGAAAGTCGATCTCTGTGGCATCTAAATCTCCAAATGCCTTTCAGATTAACCCTGTTATGTTCAAATCTCGAAACAACAAAGTTCAGATTCACATTCAGTTTCTTAGCAGGTTAAAGTGAAAATATTTGCTGTTTCTTTATGTTACAAGAAGGCTCATGGCAGTTTGTAAATATGCATGAATGTTTTTAGTGCAAATAATATTTATGATATTGGTCACATCTAATTTGCTGCTGGTTCCAGTTTTCAGATTCATCGGCCTTTTCCCTTCCTTTTAATCTTGATACGAGCTCCAGTTTTTTTTTTTAAATTTAAAGATCCTACTGAGACCGTAATTTTCATTGACTTGAGCACATGCAGTTTTGTAGTAAAACCATAGTACCTACAAAATGAACCATGGCTTTACTACAATAGCATTTTAGCAGTAAAATCAAATAACTACTGTACCAAAACAGCATAGTTTAATAACTATACATTTTGTAGCAACACCATACATACTAACTACAAGACTAACCCTGATTTTACTACAGAATTTGCAGTAAAACCATTGTAAATAAAATATTGCCATGATTTTACTATAATAACCATGGTTTAACTATGAATTTTTTAGTAAAATAATAGTAACTTCAAGATTAACCATGATTTTACTACAATAACAATGAATTTTGTAGTTCAAAAATAAGCTGGTATTACAACAGAATTTACCATAAAACCAACGATTCACTAAATGATTACCATGATTTCACAACAATAAACATGGCTCAACCATACATTTTGTAGTAAAACCACAAAACTAACCTGATTTTGCAACATAATTTAGAGTAAAACCAATGTAACTAACATAATACAGTGATTTTACTACAAACAAACCTTAGTTTAACTGAATATTGTTGTTAAATAAACAGGAATTTGCAGTAAAACCAGTACCTGCAAAATTAAATAAAGCACCTACAGATTAACTATGGTTTTGTAGTAAAATCATAATAAACACAAAAGTAAATTTGGTTTTACTGTAGTGTTATGTACGGACTCATTTATCCTGTGGGAGAAATAGTTAAGCGTGATATTATAAAGAAGTCATTTTGCTTTGCATTTTACTCCTCAGCAACTACCAACCGAGCCAGTGCAGTCCAGCACACACTGAATGCAGGCGCGCGGGGGGAGCGTTCAGAGATCCGCCAGCCGGCCCCTGCGCGAGGTCTCTGGCGCCGGAGCCAGACAGCGGAGAGGAGGGGGAAGAGCGCAGGCAGAGGCCCCTGAGTCACCGGCCCGGGGAACCTGTGGGGCTAGCATGACGTCTCAATAGAGGGAGGGTCTTCAGAGTCCGATTCAGCCCCAGTACCACGTGCTCAAGGAGCGTGGGAAAGAGGCGAGCTTTTCTTCCCAGCAAAGAAAGGGCCAGTATCGAATAACAGAAGTGCAGAAGAGCCGGGGCGGCCTGAACAGGGCTAGGTAGAGCTCCAACTGCAAGCAGACAAGATTATCTCCGGCTAATGCAAACACGCAGAGCTACGGTTACAGTCAACACTTTGATGCTTATATTCAGGGAGCGCACGTGTAAAAGAGGACACAGATATAGGCAGCTCTGTTTTGAGTGCGACTTTATTGAACTTGAACTGAAGGACTGACTGTATGCGGCCCATCCTGTTATGAACTCGCAAAAACTTGGAAGGAAAACAGCGTCTGGCATGATTTCAGCAGCGCTGTCTTCGGGGAACCCAGGCATATTATTCTGTAGTTTTGACAGATTTACAAATGGAGATATGACTTAAAGACTAAACATAAACAACGTCTGATTTGAAAAAAAAAAAGAAGAAAAAAAGCAAACATACGTTTTTTGGTTCAGAGATAACTGCAAGAAAGATAACATGCTAAAAAATGACGTTAAGCCTACCTATCAGAAAAAAAAAGTGGATGAACAAGATTTGTTCAACAACAACAAAAAACAAACCGTTTAATAACCCCTTCAAAACGTAAATCCTCTTTTATTAAAACACATTTTATAAACAACTTAGGTTTGTAAACAATTTAAGGCATGAAGTGAATTATATTGTGTAAAACAATTTAAAAAAAAAGTAAAAAAAGTGCAAAAAAATATTTAAAATGAAATATTTTCGTCATTTTGACGAAACGCGAATTCAACACAGTGAATTCAGCGACAATCCTGTTTTTATACCAATTTATGATCAATTGTTTTATGAAGTGTTATTAAAAACCATTAACACTTGCATGTTATGAACAACTTAGGAGGTTTGTAAACATTTATGGCATTATGTGTATTATTTGGTGCAAAACAAATTTAAGTTAATTTTGTTTTACAGTGCAAAACACAAAATGAAACCTCCTGTAACATTTAATCGATGCTTTTGCACATGTATCATGAGACAGTGTAGCAAATAAAAAATACTTCCGTAAAAAGATTTAAAAAAAAAAAAAAAACAAAAAAAAAAACGCAAGAGTTCATTACACATGGTCGAGGTTTCCGCTGACGTGCAGGACCTTCTGGAACTGGGACAGCACCCGGTCGTAGTGCGTCCCCTCCCAGAACACCTTTCCACAGCCGGTGCAGATGAAGTACACCGGGATCCGGGGAAGGAGGCCTGGGGGAACCGTCTCTAGCTGAACTTCTGCCCCGCTGGGGAATCTGAAGGTCTGGGGGTCCATGGCCGTGCGTGGGGCCCAGCGGCAATGAGGGGTGAACTCGGGGGCCTCTGGGGGCCTCCAGCTATTGTAATCTTCTTGTGTTTCATCCTGCGGTTCACAGTCATCCTGCTTAGATACGATGTCCTGAAGAAGACCTTTGAAAAAGACAAAGAAAAAACCAATACAGCTCAAAGTGTGTTAAAAACTGGGGGGAAATACTATGTTCAAATCAAATGCTAAATCACTGGAAATTAAATAATGGTGGAAAAGTGTCTGGATTAAATCTGTAAATACATTTTCAAATATATATGCTATTCTGAAAACAAGCGCCAACCTCTCTCTTTCATCATGCGGGTCATATCCTCTCGGGACAGCTTAAAGTACTCGTTACAGTTGCAAGCCTTGAAACAGGAGACAGAAAAAACACATCGATATGTGTAATAAAACATTATGACGTCATGCAAGTCAATTCACCAACAAGATGTTAAATCAAGTGTTAGACAAAAAAATCTCTTATGTTGACAGTTTATATATTTTGTATATAGCTTTTATACGGTTTATACTTCATCATTCTATCTTATTATAATTTTCCGCATTTTAGAATAACGGTACATCTATCAAAACTATATGAAATACTCATATTGTGCTCTTTTATATGAATCAAAAGTGCAGTGCGTTCTAGTATTTAAGGAATGTGTTGCAAATAAATAAAATAACTAAATAAAATGTTAACTGTATACATTATACAAAAATAAATGTATATATTTATAATTTATGCATTTATTTATAATTTTTACGCATTTATACCATACACACTAACGTTCAATAATTTGGGGTCGGTAATATTGTTTTAATGTTTTAGAAAGAAGTCTCTTCTGCTCAACAAGACTGCATTTATTTAATTAAAAGTTCAGTAAAAACTATTAATGAGAAACAATTTCACAATTTTATATTACAGTTTAAAATATATTACAATAATAATTACAAAGTGATCAAAGCTGAATTTTCCGCATCATTAGTGTCACATGATCCTTCAGAAATCATTCTAATATTGATGATCGAATCAAGAAACAGTTGTTATTATTATGATCAATATTGAGAACAGTTGTGTCGATTCATATTTTTCGAAAAACACTAATAAATTTAAGGATTCTTTGATGAAGTTTAAAAGATCCGCATTTATTTGAGAAAACATTACTTTGTAACATATGTAAATGTCTTTACTGTCACTTTCGATCAATTTAAAGCTTCCTTGCTGAATAAAAGTATTTATTCTTAAAAAAAATGAAAAAAACGACTGATCCCAAACTTTTTAAAAATGTATATATATATACACACATTGGTAGATAGTAGGTTGTGAACTCGGATATATTTGAAACAGTCAAAGGTAAGTCCCATGCCAAACTCTCTCACGCACACACACAAACACACACACACATACGTCTCAAGTGACGCAGGCTATGTGTGAGGTTAAAAGTTTGCATCGCCTCTCTTGATTTCACACTTCAGTGTGGCTTCTGTCTCATCCTCAGCGAGGAACCGTTTCCCACCCTTTCAAACAACACACGGGCGCTAAAAGCATCGTCACTAAACGCCATCTCCACCTCTGCAACGCCGCCCAGACTGAGACGTGCTAAACGGGACACCTTAACAGGACAGTGACAATTCAGTTGGTGAACACATGGGACTGGAATTGGGACTGTTATCAGAAATTGAACTGAAATTGAAAGACATCTCACTTTAAAGGAACAGTGAGAAGTTTGAACACTTTGTCATTATTTTCTCACAGTCGTGTGGTTTCAAATCCACTGCGGTTATTATTTCTGTCACACAAAAAGGAGAAACTTTTCAGCCAGTCTTTTCTTTTAAACAATATCAGTTCACAGTATATGGCAGTCAAGTTCCAACAAGGCCCACCCCCCCCCCCCCCCCCCACAAAATAGGGGGTTCAAACAACACAAGGCAAAGTTAAATTAAAAAAAGTTAATTATGTAAATGTACACTAGCAGATAAAAGTTTAATAATTGTTTTTGAAAGAAGTCTCTGCATTTTATTTTGATCAAATAAGTCTGCAATTATTTGATCAAAAATACAGTAAAAACATTAATACTGTGATTATTTTACAATAGAAAACCGTTAGTTTTCGCTATTTATATTTTGCGGAAGTCATGATAGACTATCATTCAAAAGTTTTTGATAATTTAAAAAAGAAAGGGCGTATTAAATTGATAAAAAATGTTACAAAATTTATAATGCTGTTCTTTTGATTGGTCTGTTCAAAGACTCCTGAAAAAAAATGTATCATGGTGTCCACAAAAATATTAGAAAATTAAAACGGCTTTAAACACTGATAATAATAAGAACCATCATTAACAATTTAGCACTAAAATATAATTCAAATCATCATATTAGAATGATTTCTGAAGGATCATGTGACACTGACTGCACTGTAATGAATGAGCTTTATCTATTCAATAAAATCGTGACAACAGATTACAAGCAATATTATTAATACAATTTAACAAATTAGAACTGAGTAATAATCAAATTAATTCCTTAAAAGTTAACCATTTAAAACGAGTAAAATTTACACCAAAAAATAAACAAAAATATCAGAATAACAAATAGACGTCAAAGATGAATGAAGAACTCTTTATTTTATATTGTCAATATTAAAGACACCTGATGTTAACAAGCAGAATCACTGAAGGAGAAAACCATAATTTTAAGTCACCATTATGGTGATCAATGTTTGCTTTAGTTGGGCTCTTGACCCTTAAGTCATTCACTTTAATAGCAATGTATTGAGAAAACTGATGAAGAAAAATCTTAATTATCCCCAAGTATATCAGTTCATAAAGTCTGTCTAAAAACATTCAGTTTGCAGAATTCAATTAAAGTACTGGATCCATTCAGAATTCAGTTTGAAGTATGTACGTTTTCACACACACAAGGTGCTGTGAAAAAGCAAGGTGTGTGTGTGTGACCTGCACAGGTGCCCTTTGCAACCCCTGGCTGCTCACTCTCACGCTCTCTCCATTCCACCTTGAGTGATTTCTTCCCACACACCGCAGTGGCTGAGCGGCCAAAAACACACCGCCAGCTATTTACCCAGCTCCTGAGTTTCCCATGCAAAAGCAAGTCAAAACCTGCTCCGCCAACTCTTCATACTCATGCCTGCACCGTCGCGCTTTCTCCATCTGTGTTTGCCTCCAAAACCACATGCGCAAGTTTGGCCTCACACATAAACAAGCGAGGAGGAGAAAGCGAGGCGCGACAAGACCAAACACTATGGCAACGCCATATGTAGGAGCCAGGGTTAGTCGCTGGTCACTTGTGCATTTCAATTCCAACATTGTGTATCATGTGTGTTCACACTTGTAGTTCGTTTCATTTGGTCCAGTGAAAGGTACTGAACCTAAAGGCACAGAGAAATGTTCACTTTTTTTGAGACGGAACTTACGGAACATCCAAAACAATGCTGTTCTCAGGGCTAAATGCTCTCGCTGTAAGTGCGTAGCTACATATGATGGTATTTTGAGCAGCTGAGAACTCGTGAAGAGCTTATAAAATGTCAAAACAGCGCCAGGAATCCCTCCGTCACACAAATGAAGCCTGAACTGAACTGTGATTGGCAACATGACGAGCAAAAACAGTATTCTTGAGCTTTCTGTCCTTTTTAGGGTCTCATCTTGTGACATCATGTCCTGTTTTTGGTTTGTTCACATGTCTTTGGTCCGTGATGCGTTCATATTTCATTCGAATCAGAGTTCGTTTGGAAGTGGAGTCTCTGCCCTCTTGTACACAACGATACCCGCACAAAAAAATAAAATGTACCAGTGCATATATTAGTAAAAACATTAAAAACATAAAATAATATCAAAGTATGAGGTTACCTGAAAATATTTAGCAGGGTTATTGCACAGGGAACAAAGAAGTATTTGCTCCTATTGCACTTTAATCGTGGAACTCTGAATCTGCGACCTTGTAAATGGAGAAGTGGAGTGAGATTTCACTGAGGGCAACAGTGGCTCTCTTCATTTGTCTCCGATTAGGACAAAAACGCAGATAAAGAGATAGAATCTATCACACCTAGTTAGGACACGCTTTGGAAACTTTGGAGTATTTAACGGTCAAACCCGTCCCGCACCGTTTGTGGTATGGAAATGAATGATGTGACTTAAAGCTGCGTTCACTGTGAGATCACTAGCGGGCGTTCCCACTACTGTTGTCTAGTAATGTTTGTGAATGACATTTGTGGATATTATCCCATGTTGGAGACAACGAATCAGTTGTTGCAAAATTATGCAAAAAAATATTTATTTATTATGTTAAAGTACCCCAAATGCAACTCTAGAAAAGAAGAGGTGTTACTTTACAAAGCATTCAAGCTCTGATTTTCTCTGGTCAACAATTAAACGGGCAAAAGACCCTTATAAAACTTAATTTTAGCAGGGACAACATCAGCCATATTTAGGGCCCAAACATTAAACACTTGTAAATGGGCCCCTTTTGACTTGGACCAGTAAGCAAACACCTTAACCCCCCTAAAAATCCCCCTAAAAAGCAATGAGGCAAAAAAAAAAAAAACCTCAACACAGCACAAGTCCTGCCAACTACATACACTGTAAAAAAAATTTTTTTCAAGATTTGTTATCACAACATATTTTCTTTTGTCAAATCAACTTAAATAATTTATTTAGTTGAGATAACTTATTATTTTGAGTTTCTGATGATTAAATTAATCTCCTTCATTGTATTAACTCACTTTTTCCCAGTTCAATCAACTTAAAATTTTAAGGCAACCAGGTTACTTACTTTAAGTTAAACCAACAATATTTTTTTACAGTGTACAACATCCAAGCATAAGACAGCGCATTTTGGTATTTGCCTTCATAATGTTTTGAGAAAATGTAATTGTTAGTAAGGTTAGTCACGTTGTGTTGTTGTACCAAAGGTAAAGACTGCACAAGATTTGACAGGTTACTGTTTGTACAGCACAAAAGCACAGTGTTGAGTATGTGTTTCAAACATAACCTCTATATGAGGCCAGCATGAGCCTCCGACGATCTAAAAACATTTCCAATTAGTGAGACGTGCTCGAGAAAAGCCAGAGACGAGAGATAGAGAGCTCCCATAGACGAGAGGTGGGGGAGGGGAGTGGAGGGAAAATACTCATTTCGACTCCGTTGCCCCCCCTCCCCTCCTCTCTCTCACCGCCGCTCCCATGGGAAAATCCTGGATTGCATACAGGCGACGGGTTTGTGCTGTGGCTGGGTCACATGACCGGGTGTCTGACCAATGAGAGGAGACTGCTATGATTCAAACCGAAGCAGAGGCAGGTAAGCGTGGGAACAGGAGTGCGGTTCAGATTCCTGCCCTGCCGGCACAGCAAACCTCA